GGGATTTGTTTTTTGACAATATAGGAGCATGTATCTGCAAAATAGTGTTGTTTATCATCTGAAGAATTAAAGATATCGATTCAATGCCTGGGGCCACTTGTTATATCAAACTGAAACTCTGTTTCGTTCATTGCTGCGTAATTCCTGACGGACTTCACTTTAAAATTATGATGTTTGAAATACTTATATGAAGTACTTGATGGAGGTCTGTCTGTATGTTATTTTTAAAAGCACTCGTTGGTAAGTCAGTAGCAGAAATTAAACGAGTGAGCGCAACGAACAAGCGAGATTTCTGAAACAAACCAACGATACATGTCATTTGAGTGGCATGGCTCACTGCTACTTAGACCAGTTTGTAAATGAAAAATTATCTTGCGCCTTTTCAGTGGGTAAATCTTAGCCTGTGTATAACAAATGAATGTGAGTGACGATGTGCTTTGACAATTAACTCCCCGCTAATAAGGAATCGTTGTCTCAATTTTCTGTCACAGAAAACGTTACCTTGCTGTTTGTTGGAGATGTCTCCTTCGCCGGTCCCATCAGATATTACGTGGAACATAAATATCACTCATATAATGACACTCTTAGTGAAGTTGCACCATATGTCAGAGAGGCAGACATTTCTGTGGCCAATTTGGAGTCTCCATTTATAAACAAAGACATGTACAATTCAATGTACGATGGAGAGAAAACAGTTATACTAGACGCTAGCCCCGAGGCCGCCCCAGCTCTGAGGTAAACATCCTTTGATCCTCATATTCTAAAATATGCATACTTTCTCTTTAAAAATTAATCCTCAGTAAAAAATTTCAAAAGATTGCGGTGCTAAATCACAATTCATGTGTTCATATTTTTTCATTCCATTAGCACTGCTTGTTCTTGCAATACACTATGCTCGTTTCATATTGTTCACAGTTGTTTGACAATAACATTTTTCTGATCCCCCCATAAGGATCTGTACCATTTTAATGGTTCCCCTCTTCGGTAGTCAATTCCCTATGAGTCCCCCTGTAACACAGAAACGAATAATCCCCTGCGTTCCCCCTGAAAACCATGTAGTCCCCCCCACTTTGTGCCCTCTAATGGTCTCCCTCTTCGGTAGTCAATTTCCTATGGTCCCCCTGTAACACAGAAATGAGTACCCCCCCCCCTGCGTTCCCCCTGAGAACCACGTGGTTCCCTTTCTGTACCTATTCTAATGATCTCCTTTTCTGTAGTCAATTTACCATAGTCCCCCTTTAACACAGAAACAAATAATACCCCTGAGTTCTCCCTATCTCAGTTGCATCCAATACCAGAATAGAGAACAGTTGAGGTTCGTGTCCGCCTGACAGCATGACAAGCAGGCATAAAATTTAAATTTGTGTTCATTTAAGCATCACCCGTCTGATTCTATCCTTCTCATCAGTTTTGCAGGATTTGATGCTGTAACACTTGCCAACAATCATTTGAACGATTTTGGCTCTGAGGAAGCAAACAACAGTGTCAAAGTTCTCAAAAAGACAGGAATACAATATTTTGGTATAAGCTTTGGAAAGTATGACTCGCCACAGGTATCATCATTCGCTGTAGTACTCAAAGAGTACCCTTTCTCCCTCCCTACCCATTTCCTCACTCTCATTAACATACGAACTATTTCGACACTTCTCATTAGAATTTTCGGGATGATGAAGCTTTATAAATGAGTGTAGTGTGTCATTAATCGTTTCATTTCCAAGTTCTATATGGGAATTTTTCCTGATAAATTCCGCGAAGGGTTTGGTACATGAGTTTGACTTCATATGGTCTGTTGTTTATTCTCGTCCTCTGTTTGCAGTACAATTTTGAAATTGAATATCTTCACCTCAAAAAAAACCCTATCTTTTCCTTGTTGTTTTTAGGAGCCACTCATCCTTGAAAGGGAAGGAATAAAGATTGGATTCCTTGGTTACTGCGCCACTATAAGTCCAACAATTAAAAAGAACTGCACTGAAATGAGAATGTTGTTCAACTCTGGTCCAGCCATTTATCGAGATGATATTGCTACACGAGATGTCCAACATTTGAAGAAGGTTTTGTTTTAGTTTAGGTTTGATAATAATTTAAGGAACGGAATTGTGATACGAGTTTGACAAACTAAACGATAATCAGACATGTACAGCTTAGCACGTTTCTCTCTGCTAATTGAGACTGTAAGACTTCTTTACTTTTGTTTAATTTCATTTATCTTCCATTTCAAAGCAATTTTACCACCGATTGGTGTTGATTATTTCCATGACAAGATTCGACGGATAGATAGACATACCACATACTGGTGGCGAGGAACGCACAAACTCCCTTAAAAAATGAATGGCATGCTCGTGCAGACGAAAGGGGGGGGGGGAGTTGGGGGCAGATACACAAAAGCATTTAAAATATCTGCAAAGGGCCTTCCTTGAAACAGACGCTAGATTATAAATAGAGGTACTTTGGAGTGAGTGTTGCATAAACAAAACCGAAATAATCACAAAAGGCTCACCAA